GAAAGGCGTCCCAGAACAAAAAGGACCTGAACCACTTGATCTATTCCACCGTGGCCAAGGGCCTGTGGGGAGGCAAGGTACAGAGGCATTGTGGGACTTATCCCCAGCCTGCTGCCATGTTTGAGGACCCTGCCTCTGTGAACTCTCTACCGCTGCCCCAGGCGACTGAGCCACAGTCACTCCTCACACCTTCCCCAGAGCTTTGGTGCATCTCATCTGGAGTATGGGCTGTACTGTGACCATCCCAACACCTCAACCTCTGTCTCCAAGGAAATGGGAGGTGGAGCCTCCTGGCTGAGAAATTGTTTTGCAAATGGATCTATTTTTATATGAGATTTTTTTTTTTTTTTTAAAGAAAATATTCCTTCCCCCTTTCCCCTTCATAATGTAAGAGGCTCTGATGGCAGGACCCAGCGACCCTGGGGTTTCTCACCACAGGCCTCAGTCCTGAGCAACCCTCAATCCTGGACTGCCACGTCAGCCCTAAAGCCTTCTGGGCCCTTTGAGGCCAGTGCAGATTCTCTCTCCCATTATCCAGTTTTGGGGCAGGAGGAAGCTCTTCCCTGACATAGCTGTACCAGGCCTAAGAATAGTGGGAGCTCTGAGACCACAGAGTTTTTATAAATGTAATATATTTATCAAGCCAAATGTGCAAATGCTAACTGGACACTGGGCAAGGAAGCACAGGAGTGTGGCCACATGGCATCCCCGCTCCCTTCTGAACAGTAGGCAGGCCAAAACTGTTCAGTAGCCCTGGCTCCAGGAAGCTCAGATTCTCTGGCTCAAGGTGACACTTTGCCCTCCTTGTGCTTTTAGCTTCCCACCACAGGTAAGGAGAGAACATGACACGGTTAGGGTTTGACCCAGAGTGAGAGTTGTTGGAGCAAAGGGGGGACTTATGTGACCTAAGGGTTCCTGCAGGGAGGCCTTCAGGCCAGGAACCAGGGTGCTGGTTGCTACAGCTGCCTGTGTGTGAAGCGGCAACAGCAGGTCCTTTGAGCTCTTCCCTGGAAGGTGGGGGTAGGTAGGAGGCTGCCTCCCTGGGTTCCTTCCTCCTCCCTGCTGATATCTGGGGCTTTGACCCTATCTTTTTTAATCTACTTTTGCTAGGATGCATTTAATAAAAAAAAAAAAAAAAGCAAACCTATTTCCCTTGCCTTTTGGGCTTCTGGGATGTCATCACCTCCAGTTTATTGGGTTTGTTTCCAACTGTTAATAAAGCATTGAAACAGTACTACCTTACTGCCTCTTTTGTGAGTTTAAGCTGTTTTCCAAAGCCCTGTTTGACCTGACAAAAGTTGAAGGTGCCAGGGCGCCTGGGTGGGTCAGTTGTTAAGCAACTGCCTTCAGCACAGGTCATGATCCCAGGTCCTGGGATCAAGGCCTGCATCAGGCTCTCTACTCTGCGGGAAGCCTGCTTCTCCCTCTCCCACTCCCCCTGCTTGTGTTCTCTCTCAAATAGATAAAATCTTAAAAAAAAAAAAAAAAGTGATGGGGCCCAGTTCTGCCCCATCCCCCTTCCACATTGCTGCCTGGGGGCTTGGCCCTTTTCTTGAACTCAGTTCTAGCTCCCCCACCTCCTCATGCTCCCAGTACCTGCAATACCTGTGCCTCTTTTTACTGAGGGAACCATTCTCCCATCTCCCCTCTTCTATCCCTGTCCTCCCATTCCCACCCCAACCCCCCTCACCCCCCTTCCCCTTTTTTGGTGGCCACAGACTAGAACTTACACTGGGGTAGAAACCTGAGCCTGCCAGCAGAGGTCAGAAGCCAGAGGTCATGCCCCAAGGGACTTGCTGCTCAGATGTGCATGTTGTGACCTGCACAAAGGAACCTCACAAGCTATGAGCAGACCCAGAATAGAGAGCAGAGGCGGAAGAGGACCACAGAACCATTCGGACAAGCTCTAGAATTGGAAATAAAATCCTTTTAAATAGCCCTGGAGCCTGGGCAGCTGCCTCCCAGTCATGGCGGGGTGATGTGGGGGTGGGCTGCCTTCCTCCCCCTCCCCCACCGGAGGCCACGCGTTTCTGGCTCAGAGCTTTACAGGCGCACATACCAATTAGGGGACCAACCGCAGCTGCTCACAGGCTCTGCCAGTCTACTGCCGTGCCTGGAATAGAACCCAGGCAGCCAGCACCCCGCCCTCTGCAGCCTGGCTCTCAGAAACAAAACCCTGCTTCCATCTCAAACCGTGCACCACCACCCTTCCTCCTACGCAAGAAAGTCGCCTCCAGATGTTTCGTTGGAAGGCTTGGTTTCCATGACAACAGACCGGGAGCTGGCAGAACATGTGACCCGGCTCTGAGAGAGCCGATGCGCAGAGGAAGCCCAGAGACAGCCTCCTTCCAGCCTGCGGTTAGGCATCCCCTCACAGAACCTCACCGCCCTCCGCTCCAGATAACCCCAGTGGGTCTGCGTTTCTGTCCTTCCGCTCCGCCTTCTCTCCTCTGTACTTCCTGCAGCTCCTCTGACTGCAGCAACCTTGAATCCCACTGTGCTTCAAGGAAGCAGGCAGAGGAGGAAGGGAGGGGAGGACTACCAACTGAAGAGTGAACGGAAAAGCGCGGCGGGGAGGGGGGGCGGGGACGGGAGAGGACGATCTGCGTCTGCGGGCAAGCTCATTTCCTACACACTTTTCAATACCGACACCATTGCCGCCTCCCCAGCAACAGGGATGAACCTTCCAGTTTCCTTGGTTTTGCTGCAGCGAGTGGGATGGTGAATTCCAAATGGGTAAACTGAGGCCCAGCCTATTATAGACTGGGCCTCTAGAGAACCGCCTCCAGCATGCCCTCCCAATTCCACAGTGTTCCCAAACTCACTAGGCAGCGGGCTTGGAAGGGAATTGGCAAAGGGGCATCCCCCCTCCTCCGGAGAAGCCCCCTGAGAGCACTCTGGGGTATTCATTTTAGCAGGGAAGAGGCGGGAACTAAGGAAACGTCCACCACCACCGCAAGATTTCCAGCCGGCTCCAACGCACTCCCGCATCCGCCCCCCCCCCCCCCCCCCCCCCCCCCGGGAGTGTCCTCTTCTGCCTGGAGACTGGCGCCTAGAACCGTAGCGGAGATGGCGCAAGCACACGGACACCGCACACCGACTGGCTGTGTCCCGAAATCCCCGCCTCCGCCACAGACCCAGAAGCCGATTACACACAATGGAACACAATCACAGCTGTACACTGTGACGTCTAACAGGACTGCAAGCATACAGAGCCACACCTGACAGCCAGAGACAGTCTCACAGGTAGGGACACAAAACCAAGACGCAAACGCAATCATCGCCTTGCGAGCCCACCCTTCTCCCAGCACACGCCGCTTAGCTCGCCGCTTCATCCACACATGCCCGGAGCCTCCATCCCTTACACAGAACCATTCAACCTTTCAGAAGAAACCTTTTAATATTTTTTTTTCCAAAGAAAAAAAGCCATATAAATATTAGAGTATAAAACTTGCGTGAGACACAGGAAAGGGAGTGGGTGGGGAAGCTACGTGACTATGCGAAGTAAAGCACTTATAGGAGTCAGTACAGGGGAGGGGTCGCCGCAGCGCGTGGACACAGCACAAAACACAGCACGGGCCGCCGCAGGCGGATTCAAGGACAGACGGCTGCGCGGAGCCTTCTGCCCGCCCACCCGCCACAACGGAAAAGCACACCGCACTACACTATTGGCTATTCTACACCAGCCGAAAGAGGGAGGGGGCTCTACACTACTGTTAGGGCTGGGGTGGGGTTCTTGCACAGCCCCGCTGGAGAGACAGGACTGGGTGGGGGGTGGGCAGAGAAAGGTCTATGCACAAGGAGGCACTGGGAGACTTTAACCAGGCTCTGGCCACTAGAGGGCAGACGGGGGGAGGGGCGCCTGGGCAGTGGCCTTCACAGAAAAGAAATGGCACCTGGCAAAATGAAGGAACAGAGGCTTGGGGAGTGCAGAGGCCCTGTGGAGAAGCTCTGATCTGGGGCTGAGACTTCCTGTTCACTTGGTCCCAACTCTAGCTCCATGCCTCCCCAACCCAAGGACCAAGAATGGCCCAGCTGACCCTCCCTTGCTGCTGGGGCCACAGTGACTCTTCTAACAGTGGCACCTCTGGGGTACCCAGCACCCACAGAGGGCCCTCTGACCTCTCCAGGGCATCTGGTCCTAAACATCCTCAAACCTTCCCTGGACTATAATGCCACTTGAAATCCACTGATGCTAAAAGCTCAGCCCAAAGTTTACTGCCTTTATATGGTAAATGAGGGTCCAGCCTGGTACTTGGTTTATGGCTAGAACTGGGAATCTGGCCAGTACCCTGGGGACATACAGAGCCTTCTACAAGACCCTAATAACCAGTAAGTCAAGCTTTGTCCATCCCCACACCCTTCCCTTCTTTATCTCACCACCCCATACTGTCTTGGAACATGCAGTGGAGTCTCTTGTTTGGGGAGGGGGAAGTCAACAGCATGCAGTGGGAACACCAAACAATGAGAAAGAGAACAAAAGACTGGTCCCAAGGGCTTTGGGAAGAGGCATGGTAGCAAAGTGCCCTCCCTAAATCCAGCAAGCATCAGTACCATGGGAATGGTAACCATGTCTCCCAAAACTTGAGCTTGGTCCTGGGGCTCTGGAAGGAGATGAAAGGACTGGCACCAAACCATGCTTTGGGGGAAGTCTGAGAATTGGAAAGGCCTAAAGGTTATGATGCCCTTCCAACTCTTCAAAACTATGAGCCTTTTTAGGTCACCAGGTACCTCAACACCCCAACCACCTTACTTGAGAAAAAGGGGCTGCTGAGGGAGTGGGGTAGGATGGGTAGGAGGAAAGCAGGGGATGGTAGATGGGCCTGATTAAATTTGGAAGATGGCAAAGTTCAGCTGTAACTGAAGGGGGTGTGATAAATGGTGTCTACACGAACCCCACTACCCCCATGGGCACAGCAAGTGATTGGATGGGGGTTCCCAGCAGAACTCCCTTTGCATATTCAATCCCTTGGGGGCAGAGAGGGGGGTGTTGACTGGGCACTTGTTTCTGTTTCCCAAGGGGAGCATGGCCTGGATCCCTACCAGTATCCTGGGGGTGAGCCCTGAAAATCCAAGGCCTGGGTACAAGTAAGGAAAGACTGGGCTGGTTGGGGTGGGAAGCTGCCCTGTGGCTCCAAGCCTGGCCTCCAGATTACTTCTTCTCCTTTTTGCCAGACTTCTTCTTGTTGCCGTTGCCACCTGCAGGAGTCTTGCCATCTCGCTTGCCGGCTGCATTGGTCAGTGTGGCATTACTGCCTGGGATGTAGACATTCTGTCGATAGTCGGGCACGTGCTGCAGGGTAAACTGAGGCCCATAGCGGGCACTTAAGCCCATGGTGCCAGCACCTCCTCCCAGGGTGGAGCTCCCATCAGCAGCTTCTGCAAGAGACAAAGGAAGGTCAAGAGCTAGACTCTGGGTCAGCAACAGTCACTCTGTTAGAGCACAACCAGTTAATGAAGGCCTGCAAAGCACCTGGCCCTGATCCTGCTGAGTCCCGGGAACGTCCTCTCTATTCACAAGGGGCAGAGGAAAGTGAGACATGCTCCATCTGATGCCCAGCTCTCTTACCTACTGATTTGGGGCAAGTCTACCTGGACTCCCCTATGTCTCTTCAGTCTTCTGATCTGTGAAACTGGTTAAAAACAGCATCCACCAGGGCACCTGGGTGGCTCAGTTGGTTGGGCGTCTGTCTTTGGCTCAGGTCATGGTTTTGGGGTCCTGGGATCGAGCCCTGCATCAGGGTCCCTGCTCAGTGGGGAACCTGCTTCTCCCTCTCCTCCCCTACTCGTGCTCTCACTACCTCTGCTGCTATCTGTCTTTCTAAGAAATGAATAAAATCTTGGGGCGCCTGGGTGGCTCAGTGGGCTAAGCCTCTGCCTTCGGCTCAGGTCATGATCTCAGGGTCTTGGGATTGAGCCCGAATTGAGGCTCTCTGCTCAGTGGGGAGCCTCCTTCCTCCTCTCTCTCTGCCTGCCTCTCTGCCTACTTGTGATCTCTATCTGTCAAATAAACAAACAAAATCTTTAAAAAAAAAAAAGAAATGAATAAAATCTTAAAAAAGAAAGCATTTTCAGATTTTGGTTAAGGCTGACCAAGATTATGATGTACACAAAGCACCTAAAGAGTGCCTATCATGTGGTAAGGACTTAAAACATACTAGCTGTTACTCTTCTCAGGGCTGAGTTAAAAGCTCTCAAATCCTTGCCCTAAGCCCTCTCTGGTGGCCACACTGGATGAGCTCCTGGGGGACTGCAGCCAGGCCCTGTTGGTCCTTCTCTCCTTGGGCCAGCGCCCACAGCGCCAGTATTGAGCAGTTCTGTTGTGTGGGGAGGGGACAGTTCCCAGGCATTCAGTTTGGAATAGTACCAGCAGCTGACACCTATTCCTCGCCAGGCACTCTGCTAGAGGAGCACACAGGCTCAAAGGCCTTCACTTCCACAAAGCAACCCATTGAGATATGTGGGATTTACCCTACTTCACAGATGAGGAGAGCAAGGTCCAGAGAAGCTAACTCAAAGCCACAACAGCCAGCATGGGTTAAAGCCGGGGTGTATCTAAGCACCCACTCTCAGGCAGAGTCCCCACCACCCCCAGCAGTGTGGGCGGGTCCCTCCCTCATCCCTCTGCTGGGAGCTGAGCTGGAGAGAAGACAGGGCTGAGCAGGGTTCTAGGAGGCTAAGAAGGTGACCAGGGAGCAGACAGAGGAGGGAGGGACGACGCAGACAGAAGCTCAGAGTATCAGAGCTGGGTGACACTGGAGAACACCTCAAGCCCAGCTTCCCACCCAGCACAGGAAGAAATGGGGTCTAGGGAAGTACAGATGGGGGCCCCAGCTCTGCATCACCCTGGGCGCTTGTTGGAAACGAGACTCAGAATCTGCACCTTAACAAGATTTCCAAGTGATTTTGATGCACACTGAAGGTAAAGAAGCACAAAATCACTTACCTCACTGGGTTTTTGTGAGGCTTCAATAGGACAATGCTTTGTGCAGTACCCAGGCCAGGCCTCAGTGCTCCGTGTGAGGTGCAGCCGCACCCCCCTCACCGCCATAGGCCTTGTGAGCGACTTCGACTCTACACACCCCCTGACCAGGCCAGCAGGGAAAACCAGGAGCTGCCGCACCTCAGACCGAGTTCACCAGGGCTTCTGCGGGACTCCTCTGGCAGCAGGAGGGTTAAAGCCCCGGGAAGTCCCAGCCCAGCTGGCAGATGTGCTCCCCTCCTTTACTCCACCCTCGACCCTGGGAGTGGGTAGAGAAGGTGACTAAAGCCAGAGAAGCTGACTAATCCTGGGACACTAACCAGGGATTGAGAAACCGGAACTATTTTCTAGACCAGCACTAGAGGGGGAGGGGAGAGGAGAAGTGAACAGAGACGGGAAAGAGGAGCCCCAGCCTTTCTGCCTCCCCGCTCCCACTCCAGGCACTCAGGTTTCTACAACCTCCATTTCAAGTCCCAAATCTCAGGATGTGAGGGCTTTGAGGGTGTGTGTGAAAGAAAAGTCGGGTGGGAGGGAGCATCTGCCCACTTCCTTCTTTCTCCAGGCTGGTCCCCTCCCCCAGCCCTTTCATTCCACAGACTTTCCACAGTTTCCCTAAGTAACTCCAGGAGGGAGCCAAGCTCACCCGCCCCTCCCCTCCAGCATCCCCCATCCAGCCTGGGAAGGGAGGGAAGGGGGAGGAGGCGCAGAGTCGGCTTCAAAAAGCTAGGATTCCAGAGTGATTTAGGGTCTAAAGGGAAGACTTCAGAGGCGCCAGAGAGGGAGAGTGAGGGACGGACACACACACACACACACACACACACAGGCACACACAAGAAAGGGAAATAAATGGGGAGAAACAGGAACAAGGGAGGCAGGAACAGAGGGGCACAAAGGGCTTGACTGGGTAACCGAAGGCCAGGCCCACCCACATCCTGCACGCACCCTAGATCTCTGAGGAGCACCCAAGGAGGTGGAAATGACAAAGCCAGTTGTTGTCACTTCTTACCAGAAGCAAAGGCCCGACATTGGCCCATGGTCCCATGGGGGGTGGGGTGGGCACTGAGGTTGGGCTGGAAGGAGAAGGGAGAGGATGTGCAAACCCAGAGCCTAAGACAAAAAGGCTGACACGGGAGTTCCTTTTGGTCAGCTGTGCCACTAAAAAAACTAGGTGACCCTGGCAGAGGCCCTGCATGATTCAAGCCTCTGTTTCCCCATCTATAAATCTGAGGGGGAGAAGGTAGACTGTGGACAGATTCTACAGAAGGCGTTGACCTTCTGTAGAATCAATTCTTCAACGGCCCCTCCTTCTACTTCTCTGACACACACAGTGAGCAGGGACCAAGATCTTTTCTATTCCCAAGAGAAACATTCTTTAAAAGGCAGCAACAAAGGGCTGTCTGGCTGGCTCAGTCACTGGAGCAAGTGATTCCTGACCTCGGGGTTGGGAGTTTGAGCTCTGTGTTGGGTGTAGAGATTACTTAAGGGTAAAGTCTTCAAACAAAACAAAACAGCTCAGGCCTGAAGGTGGGAGCAGCATGGGCCTCCTCTCTGGCTCCTGGCACCCAACCTCCCTCCCCTCTTTGCCCTTCCCACCCCAACCCAGGGCTGAGACAACTCCAGACAGGGAGGCCTCATCAAGCTAGACTAGGGCCAGTTGAACCACAAACCAGAGCCTCCTTGAAAACACACTTCCCCCCAAATGTTTATTTAAAAAGCCTCCCAAGTGCACTTACTTTCCTTCTTACTTACTCTCCCTCAGCAGTGCCTGGCTGGGCTGCACTCCAGAAGCCTCTCGGGCTTCAGGGCAGGGAAGCGGGTGTGAAAGTGAGAGTAGGGCCTGACCCTGCCACTTCAACCCTCTGGATCATTCCCCAAGGCCCACGGTGGGATCAGGTCAGCTGCTGTGTGGGCCCAGGAGGGTGGAGCCCTGGCAGGGAAGCCAGCCTGCAGTCACCCAGGAAGTTATGGGCCATAAATACTGATGCCATTTCTGTTTTTTAAATCTGGATTCAGGCCAACAATCCTGCTTCCTGGCCTTAACGCTAAAAACCACAACAGCTAAATATACCTGTTTCCTTTCCTCAAGAACCTGACTTGGCATCTCCCAGACCCATCTGCCTGCCTCTTTCATACTCAGTATTGAGCCTGTCCAGGAGTACAGCACCCCAGATCTGGGCCAACTCTGTCCCAGAAGACTGGCCTCCCCTGTCACCTCCCTCCGACCCCTGCAACCCTACACCTACCATGGGCCTGACTTCACTCAGCCTCATAGACATCCGGGAGAGGCTTGTCAGTTTTAACCAAAAAAAACCCGCAGTGTGCTTGATTAAATTTCAACTTCAGATAAAAAATGAGCCATTTTTTATATAGTACGTCCCAATACTAATGTTGGGGGCCTACTTATGCTAAAATACTATTTGTTGTTTACACGAACTTAAAATTAACTGGGCATCCTGTATTTTATCTGGCACCTCTAGTCTGGGAGTAAAGCAGGACAGTAAGAGGAGTTCAGCCTCTGCTCCAACTCAGCTAAAAGGGAAAACGTAGGCTGCATCTAAAGGCAGATGTGGTCACTATAGAAGAAAAAGCATGAACCTGGGAGTCGGACTGTGTTAGAATCACCCATGTGCAGCTCTAAATAGGGACCCCGGGATCTCTCAGTTCTCTCATTTGTCAGATATAAGTAAGCAATCACAGATCAGCCTTGCAGAGCTGGTAAGAAGATTAACTGATGTGAGGCCCATCAAGCTTGCCAAGCATGCACCCGGGACAGTACGTAGGTGTGCTTTCAGTGAATGCTGTCCTGATTCTACCTGGCTCTCTACCAGCCCTCCACGAGTGCTACAGGACACGCCTTTCACTCCACTATGTAAGCCCAATGCCTTCATCCTCTGACAGCCTCCAAGGAAGCCTAGGATTTGCAGTTGCTGCAATGAGTCCTTATTAATAGGCGATATTCAAAATCTGCCTTCTACGGGTCAATAAGGATAAGAATTAATCAACTTTAGCCACTGCGTATTGTGCCCTTACTCTGTCATTCCTATGCTGAGGCCTGACATTTGGCCCTCACCACACCGCAGTAAGATCTGTCAAAGTGCTTGATTTATAGTCAGTGAAACTGAGGCCCCCAGGGGCTGAGTACCTTCCTTAAGGACTCACAGCTAAATGTGGGTGCCAGGATTTGAATCCAGGGTGGCCTGCCTCCAAAGCCTGTGCCCCTAAGTACTAATATCATTCTGTTGTTTTGTCTCCCCAGCTCAGGACCCTTTTTGACTCTTCAGGGACAAAAACCCTCCGCAGAATCTCTATTGCATGAGAAGTTCTCTGTTAGCCTTCTAGGAAAACCCAGCTACAGGTGGGGTCAACAAAAAAGAGAAGGGCTCTCACAGGCCCATGTGCATTCTCTCACGCCCACTTGTATGGACGGAAGGCTTGCATGTGCCAGGCCTGTGGTTTTGTGCTCTCATTTAATCCTCATGACAACCCGTGGAGGCCACAGCCTCCATTTTCTGGGCTGAAGAAGGGTTAGGGAGATTAAGCCAACAGATCAAATTCCCCAAGAGCATAAGTGGCAGAATGAAGCTCTGACCTATGCTGTCCCCTGCTGAAGCTGGACTCTTAATACTTCTGCCTACCCCCGCTCAAGAAATCTTTCCTTTTCAGCTCCCCTCGAGGCATCTTGGGAGCCTTAGCTCTTTCTCTCTCTGGCTTTTTGTCAGGAATGAGGAGTCCCCTCAGAACAGCTAAACAATCCAGAGGTGCCATGCAGGTGGATGGCCAGTCTTGAGGCCTGGCCGCTCGAGGACTGCCCCAAACCCCACACGCAGAGCTGCGCAACTCACCACTGGCAGAGGCCAGGATCATGGCCTGCAGCATCTCCGTATCAAACTGGTTGTTGGGCCATGTGCCGGTCTCATCCCCGTTCTGGGAGCTGCGGAAGAGAGAGTGGGGTGGTGAGGACAGCCTCCCAGACCAGCACAGGCCATGCCCCTCCTGTCCTCTCCCAGGGAACCCAGATCTAGCACCCTATGTCTCTGTCCCAGTCCCACGCCAAAAGAGGGCCCATAGGATCAAAACATGCAATGTTTGCAAGTCCTTTGGGAAAAAATCCCTCTGCTGAGCACACTTGCTGGTCTTGCACCATCTATACATAGCAATCCTTTTCTGAGGCACTTCCCTAATTCCTCAATCTCCCTCTCACAGCAAATCCAGCGCAAGCAGTGTTTTCTAGACCGCCAGTTCCCAACCTCTGCTTTGGTAACATGAATAAAATTTGTCAGAGGGGATGCCTGAAGCCCACCCAGACAGCCCGGCACCTCCTTGGGGCAGCCCCAGTGGCCCTGTTCCTGCTGCTGTGGCTGTGTGCAGGAGGCAATGCCTGCCTGCCTCCCAATGAAGCACCCAGTTACCACCTTGAGACACTCCGAGCACTGAGGAAAACATGAGATGCTTGACAATCGTTAACAATGCTAACCTATAAAGGACCCAAAGGAATACCAACACAACTTGGATTTTTCCCACAGTGACTATCTCCCTGCTTTGTTGGAATCTGGAAGTATGACATTATTTCTGTTTTTGAGGGGAGGGGACACCCTGACACAGACACAGTCTATCAGGTGATCCTTGGCACCCTCTGGCACACCAGAGTTCCTCAACAAACTGCCTGGATGAATGGGGAAAAAAGTCCATAGAGAGAGTTAGGTTACTATGAGGGAGGGATGGGGCACTAGGGGACCAGCTGCAGGGAGAGAGGAAGAGAGAGGGAGGGAGGGAGCACGAGAGAGTGAGTGCAAGCCAGAGCCAATCACAGTCTGTGCATTCCATCACAGTGGGTGAGCGCAGCCAAGAAATGCTTTATAATTTTTCCAAGTTCTGTCCCTGCTTATGATTTCCCCTGATCTGGGATTCCCCATCCCCAGGAAGGTAGACTTAGTCTTGGGCTTAGATCAGAGCAAAGGTGCAGTGTGTGACCTCTACACCATCACATCCGACAGAGAGTTAGAGTTGGAAGGGAAAGTAGAAGGCTCATTTCTCTTTCTTCAGAGTGAGAAGAGATGGAATTCTGTGTCCATTTATTCCACCAACATTTACTGAGCAATGACCGTGCACCAGACCCTGCGCTAGGTACTGGGGTTATAGTTGGGAACATGTCCAAACTAGTTTGTCTCTATGATGCTCACGGTCCATACTTAGAGGCTGACATTAAGTTAAGTACACAATTATTCAATCATGACTGTGACAAGGGCCGTGGGGGCAAAAAGCAGGGTGGAGAGGGAAGTCTTCATTTAGTAGGGGGCTAGGGAGCTCAATCAGTCCAGGCTTCCTTGAGGAAAAGGGAAATTAGAAGACAAGGAATTTAAATTGGAAGAAATTTCCAGGTGATTTGCAGGACAATTCTAGTTAAACAAAAGTATGAGGAATGACAGAAAATCACCACCTTCTAACCAGTCATCAGTGACTACTAAAATATTAAAAGTGGAAGTTTGCAGCACAGTCTCAAATACCACTCAGAGTACTTATTAACCAATTCTTTAAAAGTAGCTTTGTAATGGAGAGATAGGGAGACCAGTTACCTAAGTGAACAAAGTGAGTATCACCAACACCTGGACAAACAGACACGAAAGCATCCCCCAGGTAATGCAGTGGGAGGCTACCCAGTGTCGTACAGGCAGTATTCCTAAAAAAACTGTTAACCTAATTTCACTGTGAGAAAATGCAAGGCCAGATTGTGGGACATTTTAAAAGACAACTGGCTTGGACTCTAAAAAAGGTCTGTCATGAAAAACAAAGTAAGGAGGCTGTTCTACATTAAAGGGGATGACAGAGATATGGCAAGCAAATGAGATTCATGCTCTGACTGAATCCTAGATTAAAAAAAAAAAAAATACCAGGGGTGTGGCTGGCTCGGTCAGTAGAGCATACAAGCTTAGAGTATGAATTCAAGCCCCATGTTGGGTGCAGAGCTTACTTTAAGAAACAAACAAAAACACCAAACAGGTTAAAAGACATTTCAAGAATGTTTATGAAAATCTGCCAGTGGACTATATATTATTACTGCATTAATGTTAAATTTCTCAAACGTGATCATTCTTTTATGGTTTATAGGTTGAATGCTACTATCGTTAGGGGTTCTATACTGAAGTTTTTCAAATGTTATGATGTCTGCCACTCTCAAATGGTTAAAAAAAAAAGTTTAGTGTGTGTGTGTGTGTGGAGAGAGAGGGAGATAAATGTGCAAAATATTAACCATTAATTAATCTAGGTAAAAACAGTATTCCCATGTTCATCACACTATTTTTGACAAGTCAACTTTTTGACAAGCTTGAAACATTTAAAAGTAAAAAACTGAGAAGAGAAGTGAAGTATCTAAGAGAAGGTGTAGTGCTCGGGGATAGCGCTTTCCAGGTAGTGAGAGTAACATGTCCCAAGCCTCTGAGGCTCGAAGAAGCTTGGCCAATTCGATGGGCTAAGGGAAGCCAGTGTGGCTGCCCCAAGGGGAGATGGTGTGAGGGGCTGAGGATGTAGAAAAATGGACACTAAAGATTTCTAGTCTCATTCTAAGAGCTCTGGCAAGTCACTCAGGTGTTTAAAGTGGGGTGGGGGGTTTCACGGTGAGATTTAAGTATTTAAAGATCCCTCTTGCTCCTGGGAAAGGACCAAGGGTTAAGGGTATCTTTGGGAGGACAGGAGCCCAGTGGTGGGGCCTCAGCCAGCTCTGTCTCTGTGGAAATTCAGGGATCTTAACTTGAAGCCCTGCTGAGCTGTCACTGGGCCTGTTAGGCACAAGGTTGAGGCAGATGGGCTCATGCCTAGGTGAAGAGACTGACTGGGATAGAGTGGGGAGAACAAAGGTCAAGGAGGAGAAGCAGGAGAAGGGCTCCAGGGTGAACAACAGGGTCAGACACCAGGTTAGGAAGATACCATGTGAGGACTGGATAATGCTGTTAAGGGAATAAAGGTGAGGGAGGGGCTGGGTCTGGAACCATGATGGGCTGGGCTATGGGGAGGATTCTTGGATAATGGTTGAATACTGGAGGCTAAGAAGATGAGCAGGCTGCCAACTCTGTGAAGCTGGGCACGAGATAAGTAGAGGGGGAGAGATTTCTTTTTGAACAATTTGCTGAGAACTTCCTATTCTCTGGGTTCTGGGCTGACTAAATTACATAGAATTTATATATATATATATATATATATATATATATATATATATATATATATAAATATATATAAATAATGTGGTTATATATATTTAGTTTATATACAGTTTATATTTAGTTGTTATATAGTAGCTATCGCTCAGTTAGCTTGCCTATTTGAGCCTCAGAACCACCTGCAGGTAAGTATTACTATGATTCTCTCTTTTCCTGCAGATAAATCCAGGGCTCAGAGGGGTTGAGAGTTGAGAGACTCCTGAAGCCACACAGCTGCTAACTGGCAGAGCTGCAACCTGGAAAAGGCCTGGTAGGACTCTAGCCCATGCTCCTCTACACAACACCATACTGGGCTTCCCCATGGAGGCCCTGGAGCCCTGGAAGCGGGGATAGGGGGCTCTTCCAGGAATTGGGAGATGGTGGAAAATAAAAATGGAGGAGATGGACTATCTCTAATTGACCATTTTCCAAGCATCCACAATGTGTCAGCACCCGTGGCAGGCCAAAAGACGTAAGAGCTGAGGGACGGAGTTCTTGCCCCAAGGAGATTGGATTGCGGTGTGCTAGATATGTGTGTGGGGAGTGGGGGTAACAGCCCAGAGGCTGGGCTGTGAAAAAATGCTCCCTGCAGGAGGAGGCAAAGAGGGAGAAATCTGGGCAAGTCACCTCTGATAACAGCCTGGATTTAACTGTGTTAAAATATAAACACATATGTATTTTTTGACACAGTAAAAGCCTGTCAGCTTTTTTAAAAATAGACATTTTGGGGCACATGGGTGGCTCAGTGGGTTGAGCCTCTGCCTTCGGCTCAGGTCATGATCCCAGGGTCCTGGGACAGAGCCCCACAACAGGCTCTCTGCTCAGCAGGGAGCCTGCTTCCCCCTGTCTGCCTACTTGTGATCTCTGTCAAAAAAATAAATAAAATCTTGAAAAAAAATGCACTATGTCCAGATGAGGAGCTATTAGGCAACAATTAACTTCTGAAAATTTTGTTCCTGCCATGGGGAAATTCTCGTGGCATACTGCAAAGAGAACACGAAGAGGTGATAATGCTGATGGAACGCAATTACTAGAGGAAAAAATGGTGAGAAATATACCACCTCACTGGGAGTAAGAGTTCATACTATTTTGTGAAGAAGTTTGTGAACAATTTAGGTGAATCGGACTTTAAAAAAAAAAAAGAAAGAAAAGAAAAGACACCTGTGCAGGTTGTTTGAGTGCACACAAAAAAAAACGGTTTAGAAATATACATATGAAAATGTTAAGGAGCTTAAGAGATTTGAGACACTGAACCAAATACAAAATGTGGGCCCTTAATTTGGGTAAGTGCACAAATGAGTTAACAGACATATAATTGGGGAAATGTCAATATAGACTGGATATCTGATACTAGTTTATTAGTATTACTTAGTATTAACATATTAGTTTATTAATATTATTTTGAGTGCTTATGTGTTAAAAAAAAAAAAGAACTATCTGTTAAAGACAGTGAAGACTCAGATGAAACGACAGGAAGGCTGAGATCTGTCTCAAAATAATTCAAGGGGGTAACAGGGTAGAGATCCAAGTGAAACAAAGCAGGGCATTAGCTGGAGCTGGACAGTGGATTACAGAGGTTCATGATACCATACTCCTTGTGTACTGATTGGAAAATTTCCATATTCAAAAAATGTCAGTAGCGGGGGATCTCTGGGTTGTGAAATGTGAGTGCTTTCTCTTTTAAAATTTTCCTCTATTTCTCATGCTTCTATAATGAGCCTGTATTTTTTTATAAGCAGTCAAAAATAAGATGCTACTTGCCTGCTGAGTGACGGCCTAAACTGAGGGGGAGCAGGGCGAGTGTCTCACCAAGGAGAGGGAATGGAAGGGTAGGGAGAAGCCATCAAGGGAGTACAGAGTGGAGTGCAGGAGAAGCTAAACGGAGACTCTCCTTCTGTGCAGAGACTGGGAACAGCTGCAGGGTGGGGCCTGGGTTACAGCCTGAGAAGGGGCAAGTGGTTTGCTGGGTTCAGCGCCTGAGGTAATAGCCGCTGAGGTAAGAAGCTAGAAGGGTGACCTGAGAAGGGATACTGGCTGAAAGGAGGGGCACCTGGCAAGAAGGGACTTCACAACTTGGCCTTTTCCCTTTGGTCTAGGCAATGTGACCCAGTGCTGACTTGAATTGGGTTTCCTGGAGAACCCAAGAGCAGCCCTGCTCTGAAGCTGGTGTGCCAGTAATCAAGACGGTAGGGAGGGAATGGAGCCGAGAAGCAGCGGAGGGCCAAAACCACGGTTAGACTGAATGAGAAAAACCTCCCCTCTTCATCCTCTCACTCCAAATTACTCACCAGAATGGCAGCAAAGAAAGAATTCATCAGTCTGCTGATCCTGAGAGACCTTACCACAAGGCCTTTGCTCTTCCCTCCCTCTTTCAGATGGTTAATTCCTACTTAGCCTCTCAGCAACACCTCATCTCCTCTCAGATGACCTCCAGTTCCCCGACCAGATCAAATCCCTACTTTATGCTCTCACCACCAGGTACTGCTCTTCATAGCACTTGGGATAACTGCAATCTTACATTTATTTTTTATTTTTGCTTAATATCTGTCTCACTCAACATATGGTAAATTCCTTGAGGTCAGGGAGCAGGCCTATTGTATTACCTCCCACACTCAGACTCCGACCTGGCCTCCAGGAGATGCTTACTAACTCAAGTTAACTAAAGGAAGGGAGCTTTCTCTTACATCTCCCCAAGAGGTTCTATGTGTATTTCAGGCTACCAAGTCTCATTCGATGAAAAGGGACTTGAGGCAGGGATAAGGCGCTCAACCCGGAGGGCATATCACAAGCAGTCTGTGGGCCCTCCAGGTGCAGCAGGCAATTCTGCTTTAGGATCAGTACACAGGCACAAGCTGACCAGTGCGCCTTACCACTTTGGCTCGTTTCCTCCTGGAGGCTTGCTCTATACTCACATGACCCTCTTCTTCACAGAACTTGCTATGATTCGTAACTAGACGTTTGTTTAGTGTGATTTGTTGTCAGTTTTCTGTCTCACCTGTTGGATTGGAAGTCTATCAGTTCAAAGATGATGTCTGCTTGTTCATTCTTGCAGGACAGTGTTTAGAACAGGGACTGACTCAAAGTAGAGGCCCAATAAATAAGTGATGAATGAATGAACACCTGAGTGAGCACATGAATGACCTCACAGGTCAGTGATAGAAAGGCTGGCAAAGCCACTGGGGCAAAACAAGACAGATGGGGTCAAGGGAGGGGCAAGGGCAGTCCAAGCCATCTGGCTTGGTGCCTCCTAGGGGCCTTCTAGGAAGTGTCCCAGGCTCCCGATATACATGAAGGACTGTGGGAGGCGGAGGCTCCACCGTATACCAAGCTCTCCTGGGTCCTGGGGCAGTGCGGGCTCACCATCTGCAGCATGCGGGGATATGTGGGCCATAAGGACCTGGCCAGCAAGGAGGCAGGGAAGGGCGCCTAAGTTCTGCCCACCATCCCACTTCTCCTGGGTTCCTTGGACTCCTCAGGCTCCTGACTTCTAACAGGGAGACCTGGCCCCAAGCCCATCCCACTCCTCTCAGACTAACTTTAGGTCTTTCTATAGTTTCCTTCCCCACCACCCACAGGGGGTTCCTGTCTCAGCAGGAATTCATACTGGATTGAAATGAGCAGCTGGGGCAGCTGGGATGGGAGGGTGTGTGCTGGTAAGCACTGATCAAAGACTCTGTGTGTGAGGAGTAGGAGGAGGGAGAGGGGCACGTGTGTACTGGCTTGCCCACAAGCACAAAGAAATAAGAGACAGGATAAAAGGAAGACAAAGAGAGATAAAGAAAGAGTAACAGACTGAGGCTCAGGGATGCAGAGACAGACAGACTATACACTTAGAGAGACCTACAGAGAGGGGCAGAGACAAGGAAAGAGAGACAGGCTGAGAACAGAGAGGAAAACAGAAATAGCAAGAGATTAATAAACCAAGAGACTGGAGACAGAGGAACACAAGAACACTAAGCAAGGGGGAGAAACAGAAAAGAGGTCAAGGAAATAGGGAAGCAGAAACAGATTAGACTAACGGAGAGTCCAATTTATTTATGAACTGCACCATTTCCTGAGCACCCAGCATGGCGGGGGCGGGGGGTGGTGGCAGGGGACACAGGCACAGTTCCATGCAGGCACACACAAATGGCAGGGACTAAGATGCAGCTCTAGAGACAGAAACTAAACTAAACTAAACTAAATAAAGACAGAAACTAAAGCAGAGGCAGAAAGAGAGGAAGAGGCAGAGACTACAAACTGAGACTGAGGGCAGGGCAAAGAGGTAAGAAAGAGCGGCAGAGACGACAGGCCTATAGGTAGAGAGGCAGGACCAGGTGTGGGCTCTAGGGCAGCCTGGAGCCAGGACCAGAGAAACCTGCCCCTTGAGCTTCCTGCCCCCTCAGGCCTCCCTCCAGCCACGCAGTTTCCACCTTCCTCCACCCTCCTCCACAGCTGCCTGGCCTCCCTCACCTCTGGCCCTGCTCTTTCCTGCTGACTCTGGAGGAGGCTCTGACTGCTGACAGCACCTCCCCTCTCCTCCTGTCCCCCGAGTCTGCCTGAACCCCAGCCCAACCTGGGGCAGGGGGACAGAGGAATTAGATGGGTACAGAACACTTCCTTTCCCCCCAGAGACCACCTGAAGACCAGGAGATAGGAAAAGGTTCACATGGGGAGAAGGGAGGGGCTGAGTGTGTGGAATGAGCTTTCAAAAGAGCCAGAGTGGAAGCCTCTTCCTTCTGGGGTCTGTGTACCAGCCCCCAATACACTAAAACCTCCCTGAAATCTGGAACTGAGGGAAGAAGCCATTTGTAGCCAATGCTGAGCCCTCCCCCACCTCCTCCTACGTCATCACGGAGAAAATGCCGCAGAGAAGAGGGTGGGCTGGAGAGGCAGTCACCTACCCGCTGGTGCCAGGTCTCTGGGCCTGAGAGAATCGCCAGTCCGTGTTGGGCGGGGCTTGCTGTGGAGAAAACAGAGGGAAAGGGGCTGAGTACTCACAAGCAGTCAGAATGTCACCAGAGCTGGGGCTGGGCAGGGAGGAAAGAGGGGCATGGACACAGAGAAGAAAAGAGGATAAGAGGAGGGAGGGGTAGACTCATCTTCAAAGACAAAGCATACCCCAGGTCTCAGAGGTCTGAGGTACCAGAGGCAAAGAGATAAAATAATATTGATCTGACCATATCGAGGAGCAAACCCAGAAAGAGCCCATTCCTCCAAGCCCACTGACTCAGAACCGCTGAGCTGAGGTTCAAGGGCAGGAAGTATCTTCTGTGGAACTCAAGGGAGGGGCCCAAAGAATCACTCCCCCCCAGGAGATTTTCATGAGAATTCCACCAGCCCTAGAAAGAATTTATTCAGCTCCTCAGCTGGGAACAAAGCATCCTTGCAGCAAGATGGCTGCTGCTCCTGGTAACCCTTTTTGTGCCAGGTTGTGTTGTAACATATTCAGAGGGACACCTCCTCCAGGCCCTTGGCTCTCGACGATCCCTTCCCACAGCTAAACACATTATTAATTTAGGAGTCATGCCAGACTGATTCTTTGCAGGGCATCCAAGCCCCAGGACACCTCTCACCCACAGAACTCTGCCAGACAATGGCCGTGACTGAGGAGGAGAGAACAAGGCTGCTCTGTCTGGGATACAGAAAACTGCTGGGATGGAGCCCAGCAGAGATCAAGCTTCCACAGCCTCCAAGCAGAGCCAGCTCAGTCTCCAGGGCTCCTAAGGGGCTGATCTGTAGTCATGTCCCACCTGGAGGAAGGGGTGGGACTTTGGCCAGATGCTTCACTCCTGAGTCCAGAGAGTACAGTACCCCGTCACACATAGACACGTGCGTGCGCGCACACATACACACACACGGGACACTCTGAGAGCCGTCTCCTTACCGGTTCTGAGGTGTACTCGTAATTAACTCTCACGTTCACTCCCAGAAGCAAAGGAGACATGTGAGCATCTCTGATTACACTGGGGAGAAGACAGACCAAGGCTGCCAAATGACTCACCCTGAAGCTCACAGGTGGCAGGGATCTGAGCAGAACCCAGAAATTTACCAGCACCAGTCCTGGGCCACTGTGGGAAAAGGCACTGAGATGCCTACCCCTCAGCCTTAGACACAAGAGAATCTACACAGAGATACAAGAACGATGATAGACTAGAAGAGAGTTGCTGGGCAAAACTCACAACCTACATAAGGATGGCGGGTCCAAAGCATGTTCAGTGAGGGCTGCTGAGATAAGGAGCCCCAGAAAACTTTTCTCCAACATATAAAGCCATAAAAGAAAAGAATCGCATCTGTGCCCCATCCCAGCAGATGCAGACTACCCTCCCGTCCTCCAGCTTTACAAGTGCTAATGACTCAAAGTACAAATTCTGGAGTTAGACCTGAGCTAGAGTTTTCCCTAGCACTTCCCCTGCAAACTTGAGCAAGTCATATGACTGCGGTGAAATTCAGTCATAGGTGAGGAAGCTAGTATCTGTCCAACAAGAATGTTGGGAAGAACGAGTATGATGTGGTACAGTAAGGCTCTCTCAATCAGCTATCACATAGGGGTGTTGTTTCAAACTAGAATTCTGATTCGTTAGGGGTGGGGAGGAACATAACTGTAGTTTAAATAAAAGCTCCTGAGATTGTGCCAACTTGTGCCTTTTACTACTATAGCTGCCAAACATATGAGGGCTCCCTGGCATCTGGCAGAGGCTGGGCTTTCTATCAGGCCAAGAAGGAAGGACATGACAGAAGATACTTTGGTCACTCCCGAAGCCCTGACCCTAAACTGCAGGAACACCTCAAGATTACGACGGAGCCAAAAGCCTATCTCTGAGTGTCCAGGGTCCAGGTGCTCCATATTCCCACTTCCTGCGTTAGGGCAGGCAGTGACTGTCACTGAAGTCCCAGGCTGCCTATCTATCCAACCCTTGGGCCACAGGGTAGCTCAGCCAGCCCCCGAGGCTTCTGGGCTGGAGGCAATACTGACCTCTGCTTGGAGCCCCAGCAGGATAGAGCAGCCCACCCTGGCCCTAGAGTTCCCAGACTCATATCCTCTTGTACAGAGGTGACCTGGTCTAGCCCCAGGTGGAGGCAGGAAAAGGCTCCTGAGTCCTTGCAGGCCCTGGGAAACCATGCCACAGTATCCTCAACAGTGTATGATCAGTCTGCAGTGAGTATCTCTGAGGCCAGCTGCCAGGTGGTTTGGAAGCTATGAGGGGCCTGGGGACAGCCAGTGCATGTGAACTTGACAGCAAGCACTGGCAGTTAAAGGTGGTGTGCATGTAAGATCAAGTGCAGGTAGGGGTGTGTGCATGTGTATGTGTGCATGCAAATGAGGTGAGGCAAGCCCACTGGTCCACGTGGCCAGTGGCTGTGTTCTGCAGGGAGGATATGCGTGAAGCCTGGGTGTACACCTACCCTGTCTACAGATGTGTTTGTTTGATGGGGGAATAGGGAGAGTTGAGATTAACAGTGAAGTCACCCACTAAGGGAGTGGAAAGTGGAAACCTGAAGACTGGCAGAGCAAGCTGGCTCAGGATTCAAGGAGGCTGGGTGCCGGTATAGATTCATGACTGATTCTACCCAGGAGCAGGCCCCCCACCCAACCCCAGCCATAAAAGATGACTGGACCCCAGCCTTTCCTGTATGTGGGCGGCAGGGATTGGTTCTAGTTCCCCTCACCTACAACCACCACCACCTCCTGGTACTCCGAGTCCTATCCCCACCTTAGTGTTCCACACAATCAGTCCAAATGGCCCCAAAAGTCAGGCAGAGTACAGGCAATGCTGAGCTCCATGCCCTCCTCCACCCCCATGCCCCCGCCCTCTCCCCAGGAGGAGTGGATGCAGAAAGTCCCTTTTGTGGCCGGGCTACTTCTCCACTGCAGCCCATGGCGGTCGGTCACCCTGAGCAGTAGGGAGCCCCTCACCTGGCTCCGCTCCCGCAGTGTGTTAGAGCGGGACCGGTAGGCATCAGGCTCCAGCACCAGAGCTGAGGGCTGGTGGACACTGAGGGGCCTTAGAAAAGTGAAGTCACTGCCATCCGAGGCTGGTGAGAAGCACGTCCTGTAGCAGTGGCTCTGCGAGTCTGAAGGCCGCAGCGTCACCTCCATGTACTTGAGTGTGCCGTCTGAGCTCACCTGCAGGTTGGGACTAGACTGCTTATAGAAGTCCCGAGAGGGGGAGTCCTGGCGCCTGCAGCACTGGCTCCCACCCCCATCTGCATCTCTGTGCCCCCAAAGGCACTTAGCTGACAGGAAGGTGAAGGTGACTAAGGATAAGAGACTGATGGCTGCAAGAGCCACAATGAGGTAAAGGGTAAGGTCTGCATGCTCAGGAGGGTTTGAGAGGATATCGCTGGACTTGGGCATCTCCTCGGGATCCTCATTCTCCAGAACCAGCAGCACCGTAGCTGTAGAGGAGAGTGAAGGGTCACCGTTGTCCCTCACCAGGACCACAACCTGCTGGGTGTCAGAGTCATCCTCCCGTAAGGCCCGGGCCGTGCGCACCTCGCCAGTATGTGAAGACACCAGGAACAGTCCCGGGGCCGTGGACTGTGGCAACAGCGAATAGGAAAGCCACGCATTGTGGCCTGCGTCAGCATCCACAGCTGTCACTTTGGTGACCAAGGAGCCAGGAGGAGCAGAACGAGGGAGGCGCTGGGGGACTGAGAGTTCCCACCCGGGTCTTGGGTGCAGCACAGTCGGCGCGTTATCATTCTGGTCCAGGACAAACACATGCAGAGATGTGTTAGAATGCAACGGGGGAGAGCCAGAGTCTCGAACCCCCACCATGATCTGCAGCATTTGCAGCAATTCATAGTCAAAGGTGCGCTGGGCAAAGACTCGCCCATCCTCAGGGTTGACATATACGAAGGAGGAAGCTGGGGCTCCCTGAATCTGATTCCCTACGATGGAGTAGGTGAGGTGAGCATTATCCCCAGTATCTGGATCCAAAGCAGCCACAATGCAGAGAAGGGAACCTGGAGGCCGATTTTCTGGGATGTATGCGGTATAGAGCTGCTGAGTAAAGTAGGGGGCGTTGTCGTTAACATCTGAAATGTTGAGCCTGATGGTGAGATGGGCGTGCAGGGGAGGTGAGCCTGCATCACTGGCCAAAAGCTCAATGGTATAGTGGGATGTGGTCTCCCGGTCCAAAGGCTGGCTGGTCAGCAGTGAGTAGTGGTTCTCAGAAGGCTTAATCTGAAATGGCAGGTCTGGGGAGATATCAAGGCTCACTTCACCATTTCTACCTGAGTCTCGGTCCCGCACATTGAACAAGCCCACTACCGTGCCCACTGGTGTGCTCTCCAGGATAGGGTTGACCAAAGAGGCCAGGAGTACCTCTGGGGCATTGTCATTGGCATCTCCCACATCCACTTGAATCATACAGTGGCCTTCCATGGCTGGCTGTCCCTGGTCACGGGCTCTCGCATGAATTTCATAGAAACTCGACTCCTCAAAATCTATGGGACCCAACACGTGGATTGCTCCACTGCTAGGGTCTAGGCCAAAAAGATTACGCACTACATCAGATGTATGGTCCCCGAAAGAATAGTCTAGTTGGCCATTGGTGCCCTCGTCTGGGTCAGTGGCATTGAGGCGAAGCAGCAGTGTACCCACAGGTGCATTCTCAGGGAGCCCCACGCGAAGAACTGAGGACTGGAAGGTGGGGGCATTATCGTTGACGTCCAGCACAGTGACAGAGATAAGGGTGGTCCCTGAGCGGGCTGGGACACCTCCGTCCACAGCAGTGAGCACGAGCTGATGTCTCGCCTGGGCTTCACGGTCCAGCTGCTGCTCTAGCACCAGCTCTGGGAATAGCTTCCCATCTTTTAGGGTCTTCACCTTCAGAGAGAAGTGGCTGCTGGGGCTTAGAGTGTAGAAGCTCACAGTATTGGTGCCCACATCTGGATCCTGGGCACTATCCAGTGGGAATCGTGCCCCAAGTGCAGCTGATTCTGAGATGCGTATCTCCCGCTCTGAGGTGGCAAAGCTAGGAGAGTTGTCATTGAGATCCAGGATCTCTACCTCTACGCGCATTAATTCCAAGGGATGTTCAGTCACCACCTGCACGGGCAGCAGGCAGCTCGTACTGGCTCCACACAGGCTCTCTCGGTCAATCTTCTTATTCACTGTCAGAGCACCACTCATCAAGCTCAGGGAAAAATAGTGGCCATTCTCCTCAGACCCCAACCGCAGTCGGCGGCTCAACAGATCTGTCACCTTTAAGCCAAGATCCTGAGCAACATTCCCCACCAACGTCCCCGGCTCTGACTCCTCCACCACTGAGTACCGAAGCTGCCCGGATGCCCAGCCCCAGCAGCACAAGGACAACATGCAGAGCACCTGCCATTTCCCAGCGAGCTGTGGGGGTGTCTCAGGTCCCATGACCCAGAAGGCCCTTCCTGGACACTGACTCTGTGCTGTCCTGTCTCCAAGGTAGACCCAGGTCTTGGAATGTAGCAGCTGAAATCTCTTGTCTCCTTCCAGCCTCTTAAAAACTGCTCCGAGGTCTGTCTGCCTGCAGCAGTTCTTCTTAGTCACCAAATGGCGGGGGTGGGTGGAGGGGGGATGGGAACTGAATCTGAGTGGAGCTGGGGAACAGGGGGAGGAGAGGTGGGCAGGAAGAGCAGATCCCCCACCTCTGCTCTGAGTCTGATTGGCCAAAAAGTCTGTCTGCTCTCAACCAATTATGAAGTCTCCTCGGTCCTGGAAACCTTAGGAACAGGCAAATCTGTGTCAAAGAAGCCTCCTACCTACCCACTCATTTCAGGCTGCAGGTTGATTCAGCCCCCTTGGCAGCAAAGTTTGACAGCTCAGATGGTGCTCAACGGGGAAGACAAAGTGGTACAAAACTTCTCAGGGTTCTATCCCAGCAACTTCCCTCAGGACTTTAGAAGCTCCCACTACTTTTCTTCAACCAACAAAATTGTGTCCTTTCAGGGGAGGCAAAGCCCCTGTGAACCCCTCCTCCCCCATCCTGCCAAAGGCTGCTAAGGTGAGAGAAAAGTTCTGTTAGGATCCTGTAAAGCCTTGCTCTGAGTAGCCATCAATGCTTTGAAGAATCTCAATGTCAGCTGATGGTTCTAGGGCTCTGCTTTTCTTAGATCCCTGACTTGAGCTGTGGAATGAGCACAACAGCTTGTGGTAGGGGGAACGTTCCTGCGACTGATCCACGTCCCCCAGGAGAGTGACTAGAAACTAGAAACTAGGCATGGTTTCTAGGATTTATGGCTTCACCAATTCAGAACTCTACTTAAAGACTCCCAGAGTGGCTGTCTCTGAGTTCCTCAGCTGTAAACCAGTTTTCTGACATTAAGTGATTTTACTTACGCTACTCTTCCCGCCAAATAAATGATGCTCCCCTGCCCCCATTCTCCTGCATCCAGCTCAAACCTCAGTGGGGACCTGACTGGGATTCCTGAAGACTTGGACTGAAAGATCTCTGCGTGCACCTTGATGCCTCCCTGACCCTTCAGTTCTCTCCTCTTTGTGCTTCCTGCTGTTTCAAGCAGAGAGTTCTCTCTATGGTGGGTTAGGGAGTACCCCATACCATGGGGCAAATATATTAGTCCCCCTCAATTCACTGGGAAATGGTAGCCTAGAGTTAAGGTAGTCCAGAACCTGCCCTCCCCAATCAAGAAGAGAAAGCAACCTCTTGGGTTTAGGTGACTGCCTGGTCTACTTTACCCTTGTGCAGTAGAGCCTTCTATGCTCCCATATTCTGGCAGCAGGCTTCCACAATACCCTGACTCTTGATCATTACCTTCATTTCTTACCCTCAGATAAGGGCATAACCCACCCCAAGTACTCATCCATTATTCACAAAACACTTCTAAAGCACACCATCTACCACATAGTTACCATGCACTATGGACTCTTGCAGAGAGACCAACAGTCGATGGGATGTGACCCAGCCATACGCCTGCATCAGCATAACCTCAAGCATTGGCTGAGCCTGCAAAGGTCTCACCTCTAGCCCATACAGAAGATCAGAGGGTGGGCAGCTTGGGCGAACAGGCTCCCCTGCCATGGGTGCACTGGGTGACTTCACCATCATGAAGCTATCACTCCGAGTGGGTGCAGAAGCCAAAGGTGTACAGCCATGAGAGTGGCCGCCCACATCAACAAACTTGATAGGATCATCTGACCCTAGCTGGATTCGCAGGATCCCATTGGAAGGAGGAAGCCCCTCCCTCCTTCGAGATCGGGTGAGACAGGCACAGGTGCCAGCAGGAAAGCAGGTCACTCCACAGGCAGCCCCACGCAGACACTTTGAGAGCAGTGCCACAAATGAGCCAAAGGACACAAAGCAAATTGCCACTAGCGATACAGCCAAGTAGAGGGTCAGGCGGGATTCTCCTTCCCTTGGAGCTGAAGATTCTCGAAGATCAGGGACAACTGGATGAGTATCTTCCTCCAAGGACACTAGTAAAGTGACAGAGGTAGACAGTGGGGGGCTACCACTATCCTTTACCACAATGACCAGCTTCTGTGGTGGGAGATCAGCTGGGATGGGAACTGCCGTCCGTACCTCCCCAGCATAGCGAGAGACTGCAAACAGGCTGGGGTCTGGGGCCTCCAGGAGCTGATAGGAAACCCAAGCATTGTAACCTGAATCCAAGTCCACAGCAGTCACCTTTGTGACTAGGTGCCCAGCACCAACTGATGGAGGCAGTGCTTGAGGACACAAGGAACCAGGCCGCGCCCTAGGGCGGAGCACAGCTGGGGCATTGTCATTGAGGTCCAGCACAAACAGACGAACTGTCACAGTGCTGCTGAGGGGTGGGTTGCCCCGATCCCGGGCCTGCACCTCAAACTGCAGTGTCTGTGTTTGCTCATAATCAAAGGATCGAGTAGCATGAACAGCTCCTGTCTGGGGATTCAGAGAAATAAAGGAAGAAGCTGAAACATCTCGATTTCTGGGCTCCAAGAGAGAGTAGGAGATAAGTGCATTCAAGCCAGAGTCTGGATCAGAGGCTGCAAGGGAACAAAGCAGGTCCCCTGGGCGATTGTTCTCAGGAACAAACACCTCATGTGACCTCTGGAAGAAAGAGGGTGGGTTATCATTCACATCTGAAATATTGAGGAAAATAGTCCTCTGGGTACTCAGAGGAGGATTCCCAGCATCAGAAGCAGTGACCATGATGTCATAGCTGGATTTGGCCTCTCGGTCCAAGGGCCCAGCAGTCACCAGGGAGAACTGGTTCCTGAAGGCAGACTTGAGGGCAAATGGCAGGTGGTCAGGAATACGGAGGCTCACATCTCCATTCGACCCTGAGTCAGGGTCCTGCACACTGATGAGTGCCACTACAGTGCCAGGTTCTGCGCTCTCTGGAAGAGTCCCAAGCTCCGAGGTCACTGTGATGTGTGGGGCATTGTCATTCACATCTAGGAGATCCACTCGAAGGCTGCAATGTTGCTCCATGGCTGGAGAACCCCCATCGCGAGCCCGAATATCAAATTCATAGTAATTCTCGCTCTCAAAGTCTAGGGGCCCCTGAAGGGTAAGCTTTCCAGTAGTCGGGTGAAGGCTAAAGAGGTTTCTCACACGATCAGGGGTGTGACCACTGAAAGAAAAGGTGACGTTACCGCTGGGACCCAAGTCTGGGTCAGAGGCATTGAGCTGGATGAGCAGCATGCCGGCTGGGGCACTCTCCAACACGCTAATCCTATAGCTGGATTGCTGGAAGGCTGGGGCGTTGTCATTCACGTCCAGCACAGATACTCGGAGCTCTGCGGTGCCAGATCTCGGGGGGTTCCCTCCATCCACAGCAGTCAGCACCAGGCGGTAGTCTGATTGCTTCTCCCGATCCAAAGGTTTTTCCAGGAGCAGCTCTGGGACCAGGCTGCCGTCGCTGCGCTTCTTGACATCAAGTGCAAAGTGTTCATTGGAGCTTAGTCTATAGCTGCTGATAGAATTGCTCCCCACATCTGCGTCCTGAGCCTTTTCCAAGGGGAAACGCTGTCCTGGAGGAGCTGCCTCCCCAATTTCCAAGTCCAGCTGCTGCCGAGGAAATCGGGGGGCGTGATCATTCACATCCACAATTTCTACCTCCGCTCGGTACATTTCCAAAGGCCCTTCGGTTACAAACTCCAGGGGCACGATGCAGCTGGCACTGAGTCCACACAGTGCCTCCCGATCAATTGGATTCTTGATGAGCAGGGCTCCGCTGTCCAAATCCACACGGAAGTGTCTTTGGTTCACCTCTCCAGCAACCTGCAGCCTACGCGCTGACAGACTCTCTGTATCCAGCAGGAAATCTTGGGCGACATTCCCTACAAAAGTCCCCTCCTGTGACTCCTCTGGGACCGGGTAGCGGATCTGCCCACAAACGTAACCCAGGTTGCAAATGAGGAACAAAAGGGTAGCCCCCCAGCAGATTTCTACCCAGCTTCCCACCTTGCAGAGCATTGCTGCTTCCCGCTAGTCCTCTACCTGGTCCTGAGAAGCAGAAGAAGCCGACCCGCCCCAAACGGCAACAGCAGCTGGAGACACCTATCTCTCTTTCGTGGCGCCAGCTCTGGCGCGGCTGGGCCGGCGCCGCAAGGGTTACGCGCCGTTTTTTTGCTGGTGGCGGGGTAGATTTGTCTGCCTTCCGCCACCCGATTGGCAGACGGCAGCTCCTGGGCTCAGCCAATAGGCTGAGCAGAGAACATCCCAATAGCAGCAGGGTTAATGCGTCGCAGCACTGGAGGAAAAAAAAAAAAAAAAAAAAAAAAAAACCCAAAAAACAAAAACCACCTATCTTTTTGCCTTCCTCCCACTCAACAGCATTTCTTTCTATAGGTTTATTATCTCTAGGAGAGACAGACAACATGTATATATGTCCTTTTTTCCCTCCTAACACACCAACTTCCCCCGCCCCTTTTCGGCGGGGAGGCGGGGAGTGGGGGACAGAGAGCCAGAGCCCTAGCAACCTGCAGCCCAGAGAGAAGTAGCCATTTGAGACTGGTCACTTTGTTCAAGCCCGTGTTGTCATCCACCAATATTCTAAATGGGTAGTTTCTGCCTCAGTCTGATGTATTAGAGCAACAACTAATTAGAAGCAGGGCCATAGACTCAAAACTCTGCCCCTCTGCAGATTATTCAGAAACATATCCATCTCTGCAGAAAGACTTACACATTAATGTAGCCAATTAAATTTATGCAGTGCACGTTTTTGTTGTAACAGGAGGTGCAGCAGAAACCGAATCTCTCTTATTCAGACACTAGCTAGAATTACCATTCATTGATTTCAAGGACAGTATAGAAGGAGATGAAGCAAGGTGGAGGGAGAGGTTCCAAATCAGTAAGGAATCAGTGTGCCTGAGAGGCGCTAAGGACTAGATCTCATTACCTGGCAGAATGCTAATGTTCACAGATTTAATAGCTTCCCTGAATGACTGAGATCAGCCACTAACAGCACTGTGCCTACAAATCCCCTTTATTTGACACCATGGCATGCTTGATTTGTTAATTACCAAGAGAGACAGTTTCAAATGAGCAAGCTTTTCACTTGGTGCCATGGGGCCTCTTGGAGCTGGAGACTGGATTCACTTTACTCCCACCCTGATTTAGACCCTCCCAGGAGCCTGGCTACCACCTCTCACACACAGAAACACAGATCATCCCACACTGTAGTTACCTGCAAACTATAATCCTAGTGACACATCAGAGCACAGAGAGACAAATCCAGCCTGATCTGGACATAAGATTTCCTAACTCATCTGAATCCTCACCTAGGTCACCACAGGCTGCAAAAACCACCAGCAAAACCCCGATTTCTTATCCTCCCCAGATTTTTAACCAAACCTGTAATCCTCAGGAATATCCTTTTGACTATGGTGAAGCCAACAACCTACATTCTGGTCTCAAACAGAGGGATGTGGCTTTCTGTGTTCTTAAACATAAAACAGCTAAACCTCCTCACATAGGAGTAATGGAGATATCAATCAGAAGGTTTCAATCAGTCTGACCTATGAGGTGTTTGGGGTGGGATTCACTAGCACAGGTGAATGGCACCACCAACAACCCACCATGAATATTTTATACAATTCATTCATTTAAAATCCACAATTTGGGGCACCTGGGTGCCTCAGTGGGTTAAAGCCTCTGCCTTTGGCTCAGGTCATGATCCCAGGGTCCTGGGATCAAGCCCTGCATCAGGCTCTCTGCTCAGCAGGGAGCCTGCTTCCTCCTCTCTCTCTGCCTGCCTCTCTGCCTACTTGTGATCTCTGTCTGTCAAATAAATAAATAAAATCTTTAAAAAAATAAAATCCACAATTTGATGGTTTTTAGTATATTCACATATGTTAAAAGGATACAACCATCACCACAATCTAATCATAGAATATTTCTGTCATCCCTCATAGAATATTTCTGTCATACCTCAGTTCCATACTGACCAGCTCTAGACTTTTTAAGAACAGCTGGCCAGATGCTAGTGGTTTAGGAAGATTTTCTCTTTAGATGACTAAAGCATCCTCTTATGTCTTCCCTACGTTGCTCCTCTAGAGCTATTCCAAATACATATGTATTTTTAAAACACAATTGTTTCTGTATTTGGGTATAGTTGATACACACTGTTACATTAGTTTCATGTGTACAACACAGCAATTCAACAAGTTTATAGAGCTATTCTATAGAATATTTTAAGGCTGGAAATAACAGAATTTTCTAAGTTCAGCCTGGCCCAGTAAGTCTGGTTCTATGAACACCAAAATAACACCTGGCTTCATAAATGTGTTAATTGATAGACTGATAATTTTAGAGCAGTAGTTTTCAAACTAGTCTGTACATTAGAATCACTTGGGGACCTTCTAAAAATACTGATCCCTGTGTCTCACCCCCAGACATTGTGCTTTAATTGGCCTGGGTGTGGCTCAGGCTTCAGAATTTTTAAGGGGTCCCCAGGTAATGCTAGTATGCAACCAAGTCTGACAGCTGTCATCTTTCCTTAGCGCCTTTCCATTTATGTCTCTACTATGTCTTTTTTGGCTGCCTCCAGATTTTCTCATTTCCAAGGTGTGTTTAAGATTGGGGGTGGGTAGGGGCGCCTGGGTGGCTCAGTGGGTTAAGCCTCTGCCTTTGGCTTGGTCATGATCCCAGGGTCCTGGGATTGAGCCCCGCATAGAGCTCTATGCTCAGCAGGGAGCCTGCTTCCCCCTCTCTCTCTGCCTGCCTCTCTGCCTACTTGTGATCTCTCTCTCTCAAATAAATAAAATCTTTAAAAAAAGATTGGGATGGGTAAAGAATAAAAATGATAATAACAGAATTTTTTAACACTTAGGATACACCAGGCTCTGAGATTATCTTGGCCAAGGACTCACAGCTGGTAAGTAGTGAAGCCTCATCTGTCTAAATGACAAATCCAAGGGTTAGTAACAATAATATACTTATTAGTATACTAATATACTTTATTGATCATAAAATAGCAGTGGTTCTCCTACAACTGGAAGTGTGTACAGGCTTCACTCCAAGACAAAAGCCTCATAGTTACCTGCACACCAAGCCTGAATAAATGAAAGCTTTACCTTTCTCAAGTTACAAATTCCCTACCTCTTACATTGTATGCACACTTAAGAAAAATAATGCTGGAAGGGAATAACACTGGGGGTACAAAAGAACTTTCAATTTGTACCACATGTTCTTTTGGATTGTCTGGATTTATTTATAAGGTAAATGATTACTTTTACTTCTATAATTAATGGTGACTACATCTTTAAATTTGGGGATTCATGTTAGTTACAATTATTTCTCCATATTTTTCTCTGTTTCCTAAATTTTCTATAATACACATGCATTACTACTATGCCACTAAAATATTTTGTAAGTAATATACACATTATTTCCAGCAGTGTACTTGAATTAAAACTTGAAGGATGCCTAGAATTTTCTTTCTTTCATAGAAAATCAGCTGAGAACGAGGTCCAGGATCTGTGTAGGCAAAGGAACATTATCAGGGGTGCCTGGATGGCTCAGAGGGTTAAGCATCTGCCTTTGGTTCAGGTCATGATCCCAGGACCCTGGGATCGAGCCCCACATCAGGCTCTCTGCTCAGCGGGGAGCCTGCTTCCCCCTCTCTCCCTGCCTACTAGTGATCTCTGTCAAATAAACAAATAATCTTTAAAAAAAAAAAGGAACGTTATCAGTACACCATTAGTTTTAATGAAGATGCAGCAATCAAATGAAAGATGGGCAAATGGAATATTTGCTATATTCCAAGCATCTGTCACTGGTTAGAGATATCTAGCATCTTGTTCTTAATGCAAATGACACCAAGCTAAGTTCTGAGTGCTGAGATCTTGGCTTATAATTTAATGCCCCCTTAGCAAGATTGGTTAGTTGTGATGGCAAGTGAGTGCTGAGTGTGGGAATTGGGGCCACACATGAGTCAATCAAATCCACATTGTGTGGGTTCACAAACCACACTCTAGTCAGGCCATCCCTTTCACAAAGGCATGATGCTTGATCTAGGCAGGGCAAGGTGAAAACGTGGATGTATCATTAGGAAATCATGTTCATCATTAAAAAAACACTCCATTCCTTCCTGAACCTGGTGCAAGCATCAAAAAGCATTAATATCGTTCTGGGATGCTAACCCTTACCTGTCCAGGAGGGGAGCTCTCTGCACCCAACACTTGCCTATAAAACACTGGATCACAGCTCCGCAGCGTGTTCTGGCGGCTGGCCAGTGGGCTGGCAGCACCAGTTTTCTTCAGCAGCAGGTCGCTGCGGCGTGAGTCGGTGGTGAGGTACACCTGATGGTAAAGGTGCGGTGGCATCAGGCCACCCCGCACAGCGTCTGCATGCAGAGAGGACCCTGGTGTTCGGTACAGGGAGCTCACTGGGGCTCGGTAGAGGTCCCTGGACTGCTTCCACTTGTAAACTTTGAATATAATCACTCCCAGTACTGTGACTGCGAACCCCACAGAAACCAGGATTAGAGAGAGGAGTAGATAAAAGGTGAGATTTTTATTCTGCTCCCGAGGGGCAGAGCCAGAGGGGAACTCAGCCCGGGCTTCAGGAGACTCCTCAGTTACTGACACAGTCAGTGTTGCCGTGGTAGACAGTGATGGCTCCCCATTGTCTTTGATCAAGACCATAAGAGTCTGCCTGGGCACATCTGTGTCCTGGACTGCGCGGGAAGTGCTGACTTGACCTGTGTGAAGCCCCACAGCAAAAAGGCTCTGGTTGGAAGCTCCCAAAAGGCTGTAGGAGAGCCAGGCATTGTGCCCTGCATCAGGGTCCCAGCCTACCACCCGTGTGACCACATGGCCAGGAGCGGTAGCTCTGGGCAGCATCTCCACCGAGCTCCGGCCAGGCCGAGGGTACAAGACCTGTGGGGCATTGTCATTACGGTCAGTGACAAATATATTCACGCTGATGTTGGTGGTCAGGACCGGAATGCCCCCATCACTGACATGAGCTGTTATTTCGAACTCTCGCCGATCTTCATAATCCAGGGACACTAAGGAAGACACGATGCCACTGTCACGATTTATTGTGAAATAGCGGCCCACTAGCCCAGTTTCAGCTCCTTGCTCCAAGAGGAAGAAGGAAAGGTGAGAATTTTGTGGGGCATCTGGGTCCCAGACACTTAGATTTAGTATTGGAACCCCAGGGATGTTATTTTCCTCAACATAAACATCATAGGAGGACTGGGAAGACTGTGGAGGGTTGTCATTGATATCAGAGACTTGTACTTGCACAACTGTAAGAGCTGAGAGGGAAGGGACTCCCGAGTCTTGAGCAGTGATGCTGAGATTGTATTCTGGGACAGTCTCACGATCCAGGGCTGCACTGGTTTTCAAAGTAAAGTAATTCTTGAGGGAAGAAGTTAGGCTGAATGGGAGACCTGGAGGAATCTGACAAGTCACCAATCCATTCTCCCCAGCATCCAGATCGATCACGCTGAGCAAAGCAATGACAGTTCCAGGAGGAGCATCCTCAGGGACTGGGCTGTACACGGAGGTGACTGTGATCTCTGGGGGATTGTCATTCACATCCAGAACCTCTACCAAAACTTTGCAATGTGCTCCTTCCGGAGTGGCGCCTTTGTCTTTGGCCTGTATGTAAATCTCGTGGAGTTTTGTGTCTTCGAAGTCCAGGTGACCCTTGATTGTCAGCACCCCAGTAACAGGATCTAAGGAGAAGAGATCTCGCATACTGGCACGATTGTGGCTGCCAAAAGAGTAAATGATTTCACCATTGGGGCCTTCATCCAAATCAGTTGCATGAACTTGCACAACGAGAGTGCCAGGGGATGCATCCTCCAGGACACGCGCACGGTACAAAGACTGATTGAAGCTGGGTGCATTGTCATTCGCGTCCAGCACGGTGATGCGAATGGGAAGGGTGGCCGAACGAGCTGGAGTTCCTCCATCCAAAGCCGTCAGCACTAACTGGAGACTTGGCTCTCGCTCCCAATCAAGGGCGCGCTCCAGCACCAGCTCCGCGTACTTGGTGCTGTCCTCCCGCGTCTGAACGCGAAGCGCAAAGTACTCATTAAGGCTCAGCTCATAGGTTTGTAAAGAGTTGCTTCCTACGTCGGGATCGTGCGCGCTCTCCAGCGGGAAGCGCGTGCCTGGCGCCACGGCCTCGCTAATCTCCAATTTCATTTCCCGGGTAGGGAAAGAGGGATTGTTGTCGTTGATATCTTGGATCACCACCTCTGCGCTGAACAGCTCTAGTGGGGTTTCCACTACCAGCTCCAGAGTTACGGTGCAGGAGGGCAGTGTCCCACAAAGCTCCTCTCTATCCAGGCGGTCATTCACGAACATCTCTCCTGACTCCCGGTTCACCTCAAAGAACCTTCGGCTAGTCCCGGACAATACCCGCAGCCTTCGGGCTGACAGGCTGCCGAGATCCAAGCCAAGGTCCGTGACCACGTTGCCCACCGCAAAACCTCTCTCTCTTTCCTCCAGGATCTCATAGCGAACCACGGCAGAAGCCTTGTGCAAAGCACCAAGCAGAAACAAAACTCCCACCACTCTCCCGGTGCTTACCAGTCCGCTCCTCCGGGCCTCTGGGACCATCTCACTCAAAGGCAGTTCCTCTTAGCGGGGTCCAGATTTTTCCGGCGATTTCGCTGAGAAACTTTCAGCGGGTTAGCGCTTGAGCGCTGGGCGCGGAGTCAGACATGGCTTTCTGGATGCCGCTGATTTGCTCTCCGGCTGTTCAGTCTCTGCCTCATCCCGGGGCTCCGAGAGGGGACGGGCCCGGCCCGATCTCCAGCGTCTTCATTGGCCGACAGCGGCACGCAGAGTCCCAGCCAATAACTGCACGAAGAATGCGCTAGCGCCGGGCTCTCTGAGCGGGACAAACACTAAGGACAGGAACTTCACTTTCCTTTGGCTTCTTTCCCCAGTTTAGGGCCAAAGCACCTTGGCAGTTATCTGTACCTCGGAAACCCCCCTTAGCCTGCAAAGCCAACTGCAGAGCGATGAAGTTGGCTGTTCTGCAAGTTTTCAAACCAAACCAAAGCCTATTGTACGTTTTAATCACTGTCTTTTAGTAATCACAAGAAGGGAGCATCAAACCAAACTGAGAACCATACAACACTGTCTGGAAAAACACAAAACTGGTTTGTTGAAGGGCTGAGTAAATCCTATCCACCTGGACTCTACATGTAAGGGGGCATTTAGCATTTCCGTGGAAATGTGAATAATTTCAGCTTTATCTCTTACCAAATGAGAGTGTACAATTTTATTACTTCCTCAGTAGAGTAAATCAACAGGAGCCACTCTCTGTTTGGTTTAACTGTGTTTTAATTTAAAATTCAGGTTTCTTTTAAAACTGGTGTTGTTCTTTAGCTCTCATTTCTTAAGAACCAGGGAGCAATGTGACATTTCCTTACCCCATCTTTCCCAACATAACCTCAATCATAAGGCATAATCTCATATACTTCCTTTTACACCGTCAATCCATTTCCCAAGATCTTGTGTTCATATGCCGCAAAGAGAAGATGCATTGCTAAAAAAGGATAATATCCCTCCCCCCAAAACAGAAAAATCCAGGCCTGTTTATCACCTTTATAAAATGACTGAGATATGCAGCAAAGCCCCATAGTCTTTAGAGAATACAAAGCCTTTAGCTCATAGAAGAAAGATCCTCAGGTTTTCTGCATTTAAGATTATAATTCAAGAAACAAACAAAATGGTAATGATTAGGATAATGAATTAGACAATCAGGTATGAAATAAACTGGCTAAGTTGTACACCTTGGGCAAGAAAGTACCTTCACAGGGTTTCTGGTTTCCTTATCTTATAAAATGCCAGGCAGGTAAAATGCCTGGCATAGAGTAAGCCTCAATTACTGATGCAAATCACCCTATTAAATATGAGACATAAAGTTTCAGAGCCTCATACTATTTCTGTATACTTGTCTTGGACATCACTTTGACTGCATACATTACTTTCTGAAGTGTAAATGAACTCTGAAGCAGGGAGATAGTCAAACAGGTTAAATAAGTAGATAAGTATGTAAGTATAAAGAGGATATTTACTGAAGAGATGAAAATCCCTTTTGGATCTGTTTCTCCATGTCCTCAATACTTTATTTTAAACCCCCTAGGTTTTTTTCTTATGAGTGACACAAGTGGGAAAGTTTATTAAAGCTCAAGTATACTGTCCAGATGTTAGAGCAGTTAGCCTGAAGAGAGAGCTGCACCTGAACTGGACATGAGCAGACACTTCTCCAAAGAAGACAGCTAAATGTCCAACAGTCACATGAAAAAATGCTCTACATCACCTGCCTTCAGGGAAATACAAATCAAAACCACAATGAGATACCACCTTACACCAGTCAAAATGGCTAAAATTAACAAGACAGGGAACAACAAATGTTGGCAAGGATGTAAACCCCATAGTTTTAATTTTTTTTTAAGATTTAATTTATTTATTTGAAAGAGATCACAAGCAGGCAGAGAGACAGGCAGAGGGAGAGGTAGGGAAGCAGGCTCCCTGCCGAGCAGAGAGCCCAATGATATGGAGGGCTTGATCGCAGGACCCTGGGATCATGACCTGAGCTGAAAGCAGAGGCTTTAACCCACTGAGCCACCCAGGTGCCCTGAAACCCCCTAGTTTTAAATACTGTTTGACGACAGATCAGACCACCGAGAAGGCTGATGGGTATTTAAACACTGAAAATATTCTATAGAGTATATTTAGAATATAGAATATAGCCTACTCACTTGCTACTCAAAGTGTGAGCCAAGAACCAATGGCATTAAGCATCACCTAGGAGCTTGTTAGAAATGCAGAAATCCTCTACTTTGTACCTCCTGACCAGATACTGATTTAACAAAATATCTGTGTGATTTGAATGAATATTAGGGTTTGAGAAATACTGATCCATGGTTTATTCAGAAATAATGACTTATCAATCTTTTTATTTTCCATTCGCCATCACTTAATTACAACATGGCTTTTGAAAACTAGCTTCTAAAAGCTGAGATGGTTTTCCCATTTGTAGTAAGGCCCATAGTTTTCTTAAGACGTCTTCATAAGCCAGCAGCACCCTCTTGGATCCATTTTCCATAGTAGCCACAATGATTTCTTTAAAAAATTTTTTTTAAGATTTTATTTATTGAGAGATACTGCACAAGCAGGAGGAGGCAAAGGGAGAGAATCTCAAGCAAATTCCGTGCTGAACATGGAGCCCAACTCGGGGTTTTATCCCACAACCCCAAGGTCATGACCTAAGCTGAAACCAAGAGTTGGACACTAAGCTACTGAGCCACCAGGCACCTTTGATCATCTTAAAATTTTAATTAGATCAGGGCGCCTGGGTAGCTCAGTCGTTAAACGCCTGCCCTCGGCTCAGGTCGTGATCCCAGGGTCCTGAGATACAGCCCTGTGTTGGGCTCCCTAATGAGCAGGAGAGTCTGATTCTCCCTGTCCCTCTGCCCCACTCCCATTCATGTTCTCTCTCCTCTCTCTAATAAACAAGTAAAATTTTTTAAAAAGTATAATTGGCAAATAAAATTGTAAAAATTCAAGGTATAAACATGATGATTTACTATACTATAAAATAATTACAACAGGGGCACCTGGGTGGCTCAGTGGATTAAAGCCTCTGCCTTTGGCTCAGGTCATGATCTTAGGGTCCTGGGATCGAGCCCCGCATCGGGCTCTCTGCTCAGTTCGTGCTCTCTCTCTCTCTCTCTCTCTGCCTGCCTCTGCCTGCTTATGATCTCTGTCAAATAAATAAAATCCTTAAAAAAAATTACAACATAGTTAACACATCCATCACGTCTGTTAGTTACCAATATGCATGTATGTGTGTGCGCATGCACGTATGTGTGGTGAGAACAATTAAGATACAGTCTCTCAGCAAATTTCAAATATATCCTATAGTACTGTTAACTACAGTCAACATACTGCACATTAGAGTCCTAAAATGTACTCATTTTGTAACTGTAAGTTTGTACCCTTTGACCAACATCTCTCTACATTTAATGATTATTAATATAGCAATCTTCGTGCCAATGGCCTAGTAATCATAAAATGCACTAAAGATTATATAGAGTCAATTATATGCATCCATTTTCCCTAGGTGTAAGAATTTTGGAAGATACGGTCACTCTTTCAAGCTACCAGTGGACCTAATGAAACTATTCCTTAACCTAATGATTTGAAAAATACAGTTTGCTAAAGAGGCAAAGAAGGTGTGGTAATACAACTTACACTGTGGGGGGGGGGTATGGAAACACCAGTGTTATAGGAACAGCACAATTTTTCAGTCTCTATCTTCTTTCCTTTCTGTTCTGTAATTTCTTTTTTTTTCTTTAAAGATTTTATTTATTTATTTGACAGAGAGATCACAAGGAGGCAGAGAGGCAGGCAGAGAGAGATGAAGGAAGCAGGCTCCCTGCTGAGCAGAGAGCCTGATGTGGGGCTCGATCCCAGGACCCTAAGATCATGACCCGAGCTGAAGGCAGAGGCTTTAACACACTGAGCCACCCAGGCGCCCCTCTCTTCTGTAATTTCAAGAGAGACTCTCATCAATGAGATATAGCAAAGACAATTTTGACATAGAGAGTAAATGTGTTACAGGTGTCCAGCGTGAAGACTTAGGGTCAGAAAGACGTGAGCTCCCATACTGAGTATTACACTTAGTAGCTATGTAACCATAAAGTTTATTTTTAACTTCTCTTTCTTTTTCTTTAACTTTAAAATGGGAATAATTACTTCACCCCTTCAATCTCAATCTGTTATTTTTTTTAACAGCTTTATACTCACCACAGAGTTCACCTAGACAATCAAGCATTTTTAGTAAATTTGTATTTATGCAACCAACACCATAATCCAGTTTTACTATATTCCCATCATCCCAAAAGTCCCTTAATCCTGTCTGCTGTCAATCCTTGCTCCTAACCCCAGCCTGAGACAACCCCTGGGTTAAAACTCCCAAGTCCACGGTGCCTGGCTGGCTCTGTCAGTAGAACATGCAACTCTTGATCTCCGGGTTTTGAGTTCGAGCACCCACACCAAGCTTAGAGATTACTTACAAATAAAATCTTTTAAAAAAAATTCCCAAGTCATTCTTAACATCTTTTTCTACATTTCCATTTCAATTAATTCCCAGTACATGTGAATGCTTACTACCTCCAATATGTATTTTGAATCTATCAATTACTTTCCCTCTCTACTCCCACTTCCTGAGTCAAATGTTATCTTATGACTGGCTACCCAATTTGTATGGCCAATAAAAATAGGGGGCTTCTTGTTTAAAAATTAATAACTTCAAGATAATAACAGCAGGGCATTAGCCCAAATTCAGGGCCCTTCTAAGAAAGGGGACCCATGTGACTGTACAGATCACATGCTCATGAAGCTGTCCTTGCTGGCACAGAGGAACCTTTCCAAAAATATGTCCTAATATCATTTTCATATATTAGGTGACTATATCATAAAACTATTTATTCTCAGGGTATCCAGTAATATCAGAAAATCCTGCTCATGGTACTGTTAAATTATTACATTCAAGGAAAAAGTATATGTATTACCCCTTTAAAACCCAAAATATCAACTATTAATCTTCCAATTAACCTAATTTGCCTATT